AAGTTCTGCAAGATGAAGGGTAGCATCGGTCACATTGCATTTTACTGATCACCTCAGACAACGCTATTAGCATTTCTGAATACTGAATTGACAAAATGTAGGTCAACTTTGTTTTTTTAAAGGCACATTAAACTTCTGAACACTTTAGTTAAATCACTGCACTGAAACAAATACGAATTCAAGATGACACACACTATGAAGAAATTATAATGCTGCAGCTTACAGACACGGACTGAATATTAGATGTTCATGCAAATTATCATTCATGCTACTGTCAGGACACTTCAGCTTGTTAACTACTACCCTAAATCAAATCTTGGGTTACCACCGGTTACTACAGCCTCCCTAGAACATAAAACCTACTGTATAGTTACTCTGGTTTCATATAACAACTATGTCATTAGTTAATGATTTAAAATTTTACCCTCTGCGAGCAATTCACATTCCAATGTAGTGCTGGAGTGGTTTTCACGTCCTTTTTTTTTTTAATGCTACTTAAAAGTTAAAATTCTGAAGACAATATTATAAAAATTCGTGGAGACAACGTCTCAGGAATATTAACATACGTTCAAATATTTGAGTACTCTGAATCCTGATGATGACGGTAAAAAGAATATTCAAAATATTGTCATCTCTTTTCAAAATGCTTTTTATTGAAGACACAATTAGAGACACTTAGTTTGGCTTTTAACTGGAGATCTTCAGAACTTGTTATTTCAGATGGTATTGAATATTAGTCTCATTGCTGGTTTTCCCAACTTTACTTGGAAGTAAGGAAGGCAAAAAAGTTTGCCTGTTTGTGAAAACATCCCTGGGGAATTACACTGTTCATTAAAAAAAATTATAATGGTTTAGGTTCCACTGTGAACCTTTGTCAAATAATTTACAGCAGAAGAAAATACACTTCTGTAGGGACACTAAAACATTCAATTACTCTAAATAAGTGAAAATAGATGCTCAGCTGACACACAAATCTAACACAAGTCAGAAAAGACATATCTGAAGAGAGAAAACACAACACCACAGCCTGAAGGATTTGGTGCCTGAAGGAGGACTGGACTATTACTACGTGATTACTTAACTTGGCACACGGAAACAGTCAAGAATTTGTATCAGTTATGAGGATCAAACTAAAGCATGTAGGTAAAAAAGGGAAATTCACTTCTCTGGACTGCATGCCTGCTACCCATCTGTCATCACACCATGTTACACTCAGCGCAAAGACTTGTCAGTATTGTGCTGTTTGCTGCAGATTTAACTGTAGAGATTTTCAATTAGAGATCACTGTTCACTTAATAAGAATAAACACTTTCACTATAAAATAAACAGTTGATTTATCTGTAGAACTGATTATACCGAGATTTGGGTTTTCAGTTTTTCTTCATAGTTTTCATTTACTTTTTTTCTTAATTACTCACCTTTACTGCTGGTATAACAAACTCCTTTTTACATAGTTAAGTCTCCATTTTAATTTCAAGTTACAGGTCTTCTTAATGCTTCCAGTTCCCAGAAGTGCCAAATGATCACAACATAAAATATTTCTGCAAAGAACTACTATTTTCATTACTTAAAAAACTAACAGGCAACTAAATTCTCCATAAATTCAGTGCTCAAAGTATTTGTAATCCCCTACGTATCACTTCCAACTGGAAGAACGCGAGTTTCTATTTCCCAGGACTAATTTAATGACACAGATAGGAACCAAAATCCTCCAGAAGCAGGAACACCACAGGCGTTTCAGAGCAAACATTACAATAATAATAAAATATGATTGTAGCAACTTTCCATGCTCAGCTTTCATTTTGACAGACAACTAAATACAGTGCACCACCATGTGGCAACAGATTAGGGAAGGGTTCTTGTACCAAGATCCGTTTTTTTCCACCTTCTGAATTTTTCTACTATTTGTCAAAAATAAATGTTAACAATTCCATTTTAGTATTAATAAGCTCCTCTTTAGTAAGTTGTCACAGCTTCACTTATCTCAAAAGCTAATTTTTAATAAATCTGGATCAGCAAGAAAATATACAGGCATTTTTATTTGTAAAGCATAATATTTACCTAAAAACATAATTGCCCCATGACCAGAGAACAGATCTGTTTCTTGCCAATCTTGCTCCCTTGCACAAGAGAAATTGGGCATAAGCACATACTGCACATCAAGCTCCTTTCAAGATATCAATACATTTATAAAATAAATCGAGCTAAATGCTGGACTCACGTCTGATTAAAAGCTTCAAAAAAATCTTGGGGGGAGGTGGGGGGGTGGAACCAAACACTTCAGGTTACACACATGCATTATTTAGCAGTTGCTCAGCCACCATAAAAATGCTTCTCTCCAGCTTAACAACAAGAAAAAAAAAAAATCCTTTTTTTTCCCCAAGAGAAACACCAACAGAAGGTCCCCAAAACCGTACGAAAACCCTGACTCCCAAAGCCACTACGTGCCAGTTAGCACCACGGAACATATTCCTGCAGCCAAATGCTAAACTCGGAGGAAAAAGCAGGTTTTCATTAAACTGGATAGCCTGTGCTCGCACAGTATGGTGCTGTTGTAATTCACTTTATTACAAGATTTCAGAAGATAGGCTCAGGTGATTCATGTATTCGTTAAATAAAGAGTTAATTCATCGTGCCTTAACATATTTGTTAGCCATTTTGTACCAATACATTCAATTTACTCTGAGTTAGCAGTGAAGACTCACTTTAAACACCAGTCTCCCACTAAGAACCTATCTGTGTTCACCATCTCAGCTTCAGGCTCCCTCATAGCTCACCGGACCTAAAGGCTTTGCTAAAACTGTTAAGAAACCTACCAGAAAACTGGGTGACGCGATACGCAACCACGCCAGGAAGGCAGGCAGTGCAACGGGTTCTCACAAGCTCCGTACCTCGAGCAGTGGGAGAACCTGTCGTGGCAGGGGCAGGAGCAAGCAGCACCCTCCTTCCAGGGCCCAGGACGGGCAGACCTGCAATTCTTTCTGCAAAAGTTGCTCTGGCGTGATTTGAGAGTCTTACCACAGAGCACACAGTCAATCCAAAGCATGTATTTTAACCACATTAAAAAAAAAAAAAACAGAAAAAAATTTTTATCCACCTCTTACATTAAGACCATGCTGAAGCTGCCTCTGCGCTCAAACTCCAACCACCCTCCGTCCCCTCTCCCCCCTGTCCAGGTTTGCTAACGCGCAGCCCGAGAAGCCCCTGCCATTCAATTAAGACCATCGTGATTTTCTGCCGAAGACAAACCAATAGCAAGAACACAATGCACATTATGCAAGTTACTGCATAGTTATGCAAGTTAGATGCATATTTTCGCTACGCAGCGTTGCTCACTGCACCGAGGGCTCTGAAGACACTTGTTTGATGTGGATGCTTACTCTTCTTTTGAGCTGTCAAATTTCCCTCTACTCTTCTCAACCGGCTTTTTTACACTAAAATATCAACCAGCTGCTAACAACATTAATGAAGCTCTTCCAGCACGTACAATCATATAGGCCATTAAGACCACAACAACATCTGAGCACAGCATTACGTAAATCTACTCCAACTCGGGTCTTAGGAGACATCGTAGGCAGAGCACCGGCACCTTATTTACTGTAGATACCCCACGCTCAACACTGCCAAAACGGAGAAAAAGATCAGAAATCTCATGAGACAAACAAGGCCTCGTGGTGAAAGTATCACTTCACAAGCCATGTGAATTCAGGAGAGTTTCATAAGCGCTCCTCTACCGAACAAAAAAAATAATTTTTTGGTCAAACACCCCCCAACCTGATGGCTTTTCTTTTAAATGTACCTCCACATGTCTTCCCCAGTCAGCGCTGGCGAGATGTGCAGACAGAGATTTCACATCCAGCATTTCATTCGAAAGCAACAGGGAGCAACTTCTCCAACGACACAGGACCCCTCACTATTTGCTAGAGGAGCTACACAGAAATGGAAGCTTTCTGGATACTAAAAGAATCAATTTTAGGAAGAGACCTATCAATCTACATTTTTGGAAGACCACTCGGAGGTCTATTACTATACCTACTAGGGAACTCCGCCACATGCTCCATTTCCAATTTCTGCCCTTTCTCACCTTTTTACCAGCACTGCCTGTAAGAAAGCATAAACCTGACATCCAAAAAACTTCCAAAATCCGTGAGCAACCACACACAACTCCCCAGAGCTGGAACCCTGCTGCTCGCCCGTACCTTCCTCATCCCCAGCTGCAAGGACACAACCACTGACACCCCGAGACCCCTCCGAGCTTCCAAAAGGAGCGAGGTTCGGTGCAATCGTCGCCGTCCAGACTTTTGAGGAGAAGCAACTCCTTTGGCCAGGCTGGATTCATCTTATTTTGGAATAAAAGGCAACCTAAGCGTGACGGCTTACGCAAGCAACAACTATTTATCGATGCAGTAAGTAGAGCCCACTTTTAAAAGCAGCCCATGATTCCTGTCGAGGCGCACAAGTATCCTCCAACAACAAACCTGAGAGCTACGCAGGTTCTTAAACGTGAGGCAGAGAGAAAGGCAGGAAAGCAGAGAGAAACCAGGAAATCTTTTTTTTTAAATCCAAAAAGCGTGTGTGGGGAGGGGGAATTAAAACCTTTACAGCTGAGATTTCAAAGCCTGCCAACACACCTACCACAGGTACCCTTTCCCCGCAGCAGAGCACCAACTCCAAAGTGACAACCTCACAAAGTTACCTCGCCGACCCTCAAGGAACAAGAGTTATTTAAATAACTGCTGATTAAACTCTGTATTTAAACACCGTAACAAGCTCTCAACTGTATGCAGCAGTTTCAGAGACCTTCATCCCACATAAAAAAACCAACCCAACCAACCCAACCCCAACAAGCCCTCCTGTGCTCCCAGCAGCCGAGGATTATATGGTCGCTGAAGAATGCAAGTTGTTACTACGTCCATTTCTAAGCAGCGATTTCCAGGAAAAAAAAAAAAAAAAAAAAAAAACAACACAGAGAAGATGGAGAAAGCGGGCAGAGAGCTCACCTTTATCCTGAGCGCAGGACAGGATCTCCTCCTCTTTGGGGTTAGTCACCTGGGTGATAATGGACGGGTTGTCCATGGAAACAGAGGGAGATTTCACCTGGCTATTTCCCTCCCGGCGGCAGGCTTGCGTGCGGGGGGGG